GGATGGCCTTCCATGGCAGGAGCCAGAGACAAGGTGAGAGTATCAGCCAGTACTTCTCGGGTCTGTCTCAGCTGCATGATGCGTGCAGCTACCCAGATAGTCTGCAGTGCGGCAGATGTGGGTCACTGTGCGGTCATGAGGCCCAACTTCGGGAAACCCGGCTCCGCGACAGGCTCGTCTGTGGCCTAAGGGATCGAGCGATGCAACGACGGGTGCTCGAAGAAGAGTATGCCAGTGAGTTATCGCTCGATCGGGTCATGCAGATATGCTCTGCATACGAATCCTCTACCGATACGGAATCTGGCCTCGGTGAGCAGCTGCCCGACCTGGCGTTGGCGGCGGCAACGAAGTCCACTTACAAGCGTCAGCAGGCGCAGGCAAAGACGCTGAAGTCGGACGTAGGCACGTGCAGGTTTTGTGGGGAGACTCACCCCAAGGGCCAATGCAAGGCCTATAACCAGACATGCCGCTTGTGCCTCAAGGTGGGTCACTTTGCTAGGGTTTGTCGACAGCGGACCTCGCCCTCACCAGGAACGACGTCTGTCGACTCGCTGTTTGTCAACCAGGCTGGTCCTTCTAGGAACAAGCTGGTGACGGTTGGCGTCGCGATCCAGGGAGGATCGTCATGCGCTATCGGGTGGCTGCCGGACACGGGCGCGGATGTGGACGCCATCAGTCTTACCGACCTGGATGGTATCGACCCAAGCCTCAGGATGAATCTAGTGCCGGACACAGCTGATGTCAAGGCAGCTAACGGTACAGCTTTGGATTCCATGGGCAAGCTCGAGGCTCAGTTGTCTTTGAGCGACACTACCGCCGTGTCGACCCTGCACGTATTCCGGCAGCTGAAGACACCTCTGCTCAGCAAGGACACGTGCATGAAGTTGCGGCTTCTCGAGGATGGATGGCCTCACTCCCGTCTAAGGGTACAAAGCGTGGCAAACATCTCCATCCCTCGGAAGCAAGCATCCGAAGTCGCAGACACGTCAGTAGGTACTGCGTCGACGGCGGCTGAGGAAATCCGACGTACCTTGCTGGAAGAGTTTCCAGAAGTGTTCTGTGATACCCCGCTCAAGCCCATGAGCGGTGAGCCGATGCGCATCGAGCTCATCAATGGCGCGTCGCCATGCCGCCTGTATCGCGCTCGCTCCATCCCATTCAGGTGGCGGGACGCTGTGCAGAACCAGCTGTCCGACATGGTGGGCAAGGGCGTCATTGAGAAGGTGCCTGTCGGCGAAGCATACACTTGGTGCCACCCACTGGTGGTGGTCCCTAAGAAGAATTCCAGTGAGCCGCGCATCACGGTGGACCTGACGGGTCTAAATAAATGGGTCAAGAGGCCGGCATACCCAACCCGAGTACCTCGGGAAGTCGTCGCGTCGATCCCAATGGGGATGCAGTACTTCACCACCCTAGATTCTCGCCATGGCTACTGGCAGGTACCCCTCGACGACGATAGCACCAGGCTCACAACGTTCATGACGCCATGGGGTGCCTACCGTTTCAAGCGGAACGTCATGGGCTTGGTGTCGGCAGGTGACGAACACAACCGGAGAGGAGACGAAGTGTTCGCCGGGTTTTCGAATCTTCAGAAAGTGGTAGAGGATGTCATCGTGTACGACACTGAGCTTGAGGCGCACACCCAGAGGGTTCGCAATGTGCTCAAGCTTTGCTCGGAGAACCAAATCACACTGAACCGCCGCAAATTCGTCTTTGCGGCACCCAGAGCATCGTACTGCGGATTCGTGGTGACGCCGGACGGCTACAGTCCTGATCGAAGCTTGGTGGAGGATCTACACAACTTTCCAATCCCTACCAACCGCACTGATGTCCGATCCTTCTGTGGACTCGTGCAGCAGTTCGACGCGTTCACGCCGCGACTAGCGGAGCTTCTATCCCCGATCCGCTCTCTGCTCTCTCCAAAGAATGAGTTTATCTGGGAGGATCCGCAGCAGCAGGCATTTACAGCTATACTAGAGGAGCTGGTAAGCCCTCGAGTGTTGGCTACCTTCGACCCTGCACAGCCGCTTCGTCTCGAGACAGACGCCTCGCAGTCAAACGGTCTCGGCATGGCACTGTGGCAGCAGCAAGTGGACGGGCGGTGGCGTCTAGTGCAATGTGCTTCACGGCACGTCACTGAGACCGAGGCCAGGTACTCGGCAACGGAGATTGAACTGCTGGCGGTAGTCTGGGCAGTCCACAAGGCTAGACTGTTCCTGGCCGGTGCTGATTTCGAGCTGCTAGTCGATCACAAGCCGCTCATTCCTATCCTGAATGCTAAGACGCTGAATGAGTTGACGTCTCCACGAATCGTGCGACTACGGGAGAAGCTGACGCCTTTTCGGTTCGTGGCTCAGTGGAGACCGGGTGCCGATCACAAGGTCGCAGATTGCCTGTCGAGACACCCAGTAAGTGCACCAGACCCTGACGATGAAGCTGGTGAGGAAGAAATCGAGCACTGCTACTGTGTTCTCCGTCAGCTGTCGCAAGAGGACGAGGAAACAGGCCATACAGTCCTCCCCGACCTTGGCATTACGAAGGTGCGGGCGGAGGGCTCGACGGACCCGGAATACCTCAAGCTGCTGAACGCCGTAAAGAACGGCTTTCCGGTGGACAAGGCTGCTCTGGACCTCGATCTGCACCCGTACTGGCAGGTTCGGCATGACCTGTCGGTCGAGGACGGCATAGTGTTGTTGGGCCACCGTATTGTCGTTCCCAGAAGGTTACGCCAGACCACGCTGGAGCAACTTCACGCTTCTCATCAGGGACAGACCCGCACACTCCGCAGGGCCAGGCAAGCAGTGTACTGGCCCCAGATCTCCAATGACGTTAAGAACGTCGTCCAGACTTGCAGATCCTGCATCACGCTGCTCCCCTCCCAACCTTCTGAGCCGCTCCTCTCTGACAGTCGTCCGTCCAGACCGTTCGAAGATGCAGCGGCGGACCTCTTCTCCCTAGGCGGCTTTGAGTACCTGGTTCTCACCGACAAGTTTTCCGGCTGGCCATTTGTTGGGCGTTGTGGGAGGTCGGCTACCACGTCTGACGTCACCAAACATCTCGTTCAGTGGATGTCGGACGTTGGCGTTCCTACGCGCCTCACGACGGATGGTGGGCCGCAATTCAGATCTTCAGCGTTCGCTTCGTTCTGCTCAGAGTGGAACATTTGCCACGACCCCAGCAGCCCATACAATCCTCAGTCAAATGGCGCGGCTGAGGCGGCGGTCAAGGCCATGAAGCACTTATTAATGAAAATTGGCAAAGTTGACGCCTATAACAGCAGTGCCTTCAGAGAAGGGTTGCTGGAGTGGCGTAACACGCCTGGTGCAGGAGGAGCAAGCCCGGCCCAGCTGCTGTTTGGAAGGCCAACGAGGACCAAGGTTCCCACACTTCCTGCAAATCTGCAGCAGTACGCTGCCCACAGCCGCAGTGCTCCCCAGCAGGTCTCATCCCAGCTTGGCAAACCTCTGCCCCCTCTGCACGTAGGCGATAAGGTATGGATCCAGAACCAGTCTTCAAAACGCTGGGATATGGAAGGAACGGTCACAAAATGCACGAGAAGAGGACGGAGCTACACAGTGCAGACAGTGACGGGGTCCAGCTTCTGGCGGAACAGACGGTTCCTCCGGCCATGTGCATAGATTGACTGGGCATGCTTCTCTTGCTTTTTCCTTGTTGCTTGTGCGCTACGCTGTGATTTTCAAATTTCAGTTTCAGGATTTTCTTTGTGTTAGTGCTCCCAAGTCGCACTTAAGCCGAGGGGGCATGTGGTGATATTGTAGCACCTTTCCCTGCATGGGTCTTGGCACTCAGGCTGCTAGTGCTACTGTTCGCACCCTAGGCCCTGCACTGCTGTACCTCTGGCGCCTTGCACATAACACATTCACATGTCACCTTTCAAGCCGCCTTTGCAGCCAGCTTCCCTTTAAAAGCAATTGCGTTTTACTGATGATTCATTCTCATCTTTCGAAGAGTTGGTCTGCCTTGAGCAGGACACAACAAGGAGAAGGCAGGCATGCCTGTGTATCTGGTGAAGTAAAATAAAAACAAACAAACAGCCATGGCAGCATTGCAAAAGAAGGTATGTTCAACCTGAACGTTGCAGCATTTTTTTTTAAGTCACTCGTCAATTAGGCAGAGGTCAAGGCATGAGTAGAGGTTTGCAGTACGAACAGCGAGCCAGTACTTCACCTTGTAGAAACATCAGCTTCAGCCCGCCACAGGCTAATGCTTGCATGTGTTGTATGCCGTGGGAAAGCATTGTAAACGTCTAGGTCGCCGACATACCACCTGCGCATTTTAGATGGTTTTGAAGCCTCAAGACAACTTTGTATGGTGTTTGCTCGGATGATGACTGCACATAGCAGTATGGTCAAAGCATGGCTCTCCTCTAGCCCAGATCACTGATTTGATTTCTGGTGGTCACCCAGGTGAAATTCAGTTTTTCAGTCTACTTCACTTTTGTTTCATCAAGCTATTCAACATTAATTTTGTTAGCTAGTGGTGAACTTTGCAGCTCGGAAAGAAGACCGGCTAAACCTGCTGCGTTTTTCTGCTCTACCCTGTTCACTGCACAATGTTAGATTGTTAAGTAGCCAAGAGCCGTGTGGCATTTTAGAATACACAAAGTAGAAAAAACTGAGAAAGGTTCTATCTTTACAGATAAGAGACGCGGTGAGACACTAACTTTATTATGGCGGTCAGCAGAACCAGAGAAGTGGACATTGGACGTAGTAATGAACACAATAAAATGTGGATAATAAAATGCATTTCGTACTCTTCCACGTATATTATTGTTGTTTATTACTAGATTTCATTATGGAGACGTATTTCCGTGATGAATGTCTCTACACAAGTTGTTAGGAAATTTTCGTTATCCATATTATCTTTTGTTGATTACCACGTCCAATGTCCGCTTCGTTGATTCTGCTGATTCTATCTTTAAACGAAAGGAGAAAAAACTCTCAAAAGAATGCATGTGTACAAACACCGTAGAGGTAAAGATGGACAGGACAGTACGTCGTAACAAAACATCCAACATCGGGTATTTTTGGCCTGTTGCTTTTCTTCTCCCTGCAGCCTCTCGTCACATTTTGGGGAATGACGCGGGCAACGTGTACTCCAATACAGTTTACAGCCTTGACTTGGCAAAGAGAGATTCTGGTGCACCGGACAAGGCCAACAGCAACCAGTACGTCATCAATTTCTCCACGGCGGCAACGAAGAGCAATACAGCATGCCGCCGCTCACCCAAAGCCAACAAAGCTAGTATGTACCAGCGTGTTCTCGGGTTAGCCTTAAAGAAAAGCGCTCGTTCTGACCACACGAGTGCTAGTACTAGTGAAAGTCTATCAGCCGAGGCGATACATGATGATTCCCATGACAATTGTTCCCCGGTCAGTGTAGCGACTGTCACTAGCTGCAATTATAGCGAACAAACCACTGGCCGACCCAAACTTGTAACTGGAGACACTGAGGAGACTCCATGCAGCCTCAGCGGTGACAGTAAGCACGACGCTGACATCTACGGCAATGAGAGTGGTGATGACAGTGATGTGGATGGCAATGTCATCGACGCTGACATCTACGGCAATGAGAGTGGTGATGGCAGTGATGTGGATGGCAATGTCATCGACGCTGACATCTACGGCAATGAGAGTGGTGATGACCGTGATGTGGATGGCAATGTCATCGACGCTGACATCTACGGCAATGAGAGTGGTGATGACAGTGATGTGTATGACACGTGCGTCAACGACAGCAGCGGTGCAGGTGCGAGTAATACCATTGGTGGAAACGGGATTACAGAGAATATATATCAATGTGGTGAAGTTGCAAGTTACAGCGACAACGTTGCAGAGAATGTATATCAATGTGGTGAAGTTGCAAGTTACAGCAACAACGTTGCAGAGAATGTATATCAATGTGGTGAAGTTGCAAGAGACAGCAACACCATTACAGAGAATGAATATAAGTGTTATGAAGGTGCAAGTGATCCCATTGCTAGAAATGCGATTGCAGAGAATGAATATCAATATTATGGTGAAATTACAAGTGGCAGCAAAGCAATTGCAGAGAATGAATATAAGTGTGATGAAGGTGCAAGTGATACCATTGCTAGAAATGTGACCACAGAGAATGTATATTATCAATATGGTGAAGTTGCAAGTGGCAGCAATGCGGTTGCAGAGAATGTATATCAGTGTGATGAAGGTGCACGTGATACCATTGCTAGAAATGTGACCACAGACAATGTATATCAATATGGTGAAGTTGCAAGTGGCGGCAATGCGGTTGCAGAGAATGTATATCAGTGCAGTGGAGATTCAAGTGACGCTGGTGTTAGAAATACGTATCGTAACTTCCCTAAAAGCAGCCCCAATCGCAGTGGCGCTGTGCAGACTTCTCCTCCCGCTCGGCAGCAGGTCGATAACAGCACTCGACAGCATCAGACCGTGTCTAAACCTCAGTTACCTTCAAGTGCGCGGCCCTGTCTAGCATTTCCGCCAGTGCAGCCCAAATCTCCACAACCGGGTGTATAATCACACTGAACACTGGGCAATATTATTATTCTCGTATCCGTCCCGAATGGAACTCACGACGGCAGAATTGACTGTGAGCAGGTGTGTGTGAGAGTGGGAAAACGAAATGAAAAAGAAAGGGAGAGTCTTGTAATAGAGGTCAAATTTAAGAAGAGCAGTACAAGACTAAATGGCTGAGCAGATGTTACCCCATTGTTTTCTATCGCGGACATAGCTGCCGAGATCACGAAGGCACTGGACAATAGGTTGTCAGGATTCAACAAGAGCAGCTGCATCCAGGCTCCGGCTGACACTATCATCGGTCATGTCCTTTGAGTAACCAGAGACAACACGACACCTGTTCTATCTCTTAAACTGTCAAAATAATATTATATAGGATAGATTATATGGAATACTATTGTTCCAATTTTCGTCTGATAATCGATTAATTTCGTGAAACTCAGGGTTACGAAACCGCAACTGCTCGTTCTCCTGTCTGTAAAGGATACTATAGAACTTAAATTTTAAAAATCGTAATGATATTAGCACATCATTATGAATTTGACAAACTGGAATACTACACTATTATTATCTTAAACATAATTATACTGTACCATAACTTTATACCCATCATATTTGGCATCTCTCTGACCAACCTTTGGTGAACTGGAGAAATATAATCATCGGATAATTCTTCTATTGCATCTAAGTTAACGTCACAGTATCTATTTGCCAATGTATTTGTATTTGTATTTATGGATTCTCCACAGGCCTTTAATAGCCTAAATCAATACCGGCGTCATGGTTTTTGTGGCTGCCCATTTGGCTTGCAGATCCGCCCGGATATTATTTGTTCATTCAGCGTATGCGAACACTTGGATTAATCCATGTGAACACGAGAATGCATATTATTATTATTTTTATTATTTGAAACTCGGATGTTGAGCCATAAATAAATGTGGAAGAGAAAAAAGACATATGGATACGAGTTAAGAGTAACTCTCCATCACTGTAACATGATACTATATACAGTCAGAAAGTGCAATAACTAGGCACAAAACTGACAGAGTACTGAAACATTCGACGTCCTGACACCTAGCTTCAACACATCTCCGTAGCGCTAACCGACAGCCTTCCAACTTGGAAGGTTCAAGGTTATGGAAAGACCAAAGAGGGGAAGGCAAGCACAACGAAAACGAGCAAAAGCTACAGTCCCAACGGAACAAAGAATGTCGATTGTTACTGGACGATGACGAGACCAGTACGATATTTGACAAAGCGGTCTAACTACAATTCGAAGCAGCAAAGCAGCACACCACCCAACTTGGGTGGGTCATAAATATCAAAGATAAGTAAAGAAAGGGAAGCTTTGCGCGAACGAATTGTACAAGCCGAAAGCCAAACTCCTACAGTACTCCTCATGCATGACATTGTGATGGACTAGATGATGGACTAGTTCTCGACATTCTTCGACATTCTTTGTTCCGTTGGGACTGTAGCTTTTGCTCGTTGTCTTTGCGCTTGCCTTCCCCTCTTTGGTCTTTCCATAACCTTGAACCTTCCAAGTTGGAAGGCTGTCGGTTAGCGCTACGGAGATGTGTTGAAGCTAGGTGTCAGGACGTCGAATGTTTCAGTACTCTGTCAGTTTTGTGCCTAGTTATTGCACTTTCTGACTGTATATAGTATCATGTTACAGTGATGGAGAGTTACTCTTAACTCGTATCCATATGTCTTTTTTCTCTTCCACATTTTTATTATTATTATTATCATTAACTGGTTTGAGGGAAAATTATTAATATTATTCATAAGTCCATGGTAAAAAATAAAGTTGATTCTCTGGTCATGAGCCTGTGAAAATCGGTGCGAGCGAGCGATCTTTTATTTTATTTCCCACAATTTTTTTTATTTCCAAAGATAGGGTCACACATTATGTTCATGGTCAAGACGTCACATGTTCATAATAATTCAGGCCGGGGAGTAGAAAAATACCGGTATTTTACTACTCCCTGATTCATGCCTTTCGCATTGACCGTTTTCCTGCGCGCATATGCATGCATAGAAATTTAAAAAATCGTCGGTGCGCGCGTACTTGAGAATCAAAGATAATTTTTACCATAGGCTAACTCCGATTACCGTAAAGTCGCGGATAAAACCCGGTTTTGCATACAAGCACATCGCGGATAGAAGCCTGAAAGTCAAACGGGTCAAATGCATATAAGCCTGTCGTGCGTAGAAGCCTGGCTTCTGTGCAAGCGCGGATCGGGTAGGTCAAGAGTGCATGCACTATGTACAGTGCATAGTAAACGTGAATACAAGCCTGGCAAAAAATATCAGCCGTGCATATAAGCATGGTTTGCATACAAGCCTGGTTTGCATTAAAGCCTGATGCAGAAAGCGGCTTATGTGCTTATAAGCCCGGCTTTTATCCGCGACTTTACGGTAGAAACTTCGGCTCTGCTTTTCTTTTTTCATGTTTTGAACTATGTTTAAGTCACTGGATTTCTTTGTATTCTGTATCTAGTTACCGTTATCTTTTCCTCTAGCCCTCTCGCTTAGGATGAGCCTTTTTTACGGAAGCTTAAGCGAGGGCTATATACCTTCTTTTTTGCAGGTTGTTGCCAACGCGAACAAGCAAAATAATAATAATACTGTAAATATACAAAATTTCGGCGCTGCAACATTTCGGCACTTCACGATTTTTGACAATTCGGCGGGGATTTATTTTCGGCGTGGGGTAGAGGGCATGGTATAGTGCGACAGATGCTGTGAAAAATTTCATCGGCGTTTTAATTTAGGCGTTTTGGGTCGGTGCCGAATATAGCCGAAATTAAATAGCTGCCGAAAATTGGTATATTTACAGTAATTCTCGTAGCTATGCAAAAGATGTTACTTCAGCAACGTCTGGCGCTAGCCAGGGTCCACACAGCTTTAATTCCGTGTTTGTTTGTTTGTTCGTGCCATTGGCATGCCTGGCGCTATCCCGTACCTGTCCCGTACCATGCCATCAAGGTGTGTGTTTGTTTGTTTGAATTGTGCCGTCGCCCATCGGCGCCATGCCTGGCGCTATTCCGTACCTGTCCCATATCGTACCATCAAAGACAGCTAACCACAATATTCAAATAGGGCTTTCAAATGCAAGATCATAACGTGAAGCAACTTTGAAGAATGAGTATGTATGCGAAGTGTATCGTGGGAATGCATACAGGGCGATAGTGCGGGTTTGAATCTTATAGGTATGTCTTAAAGATTGGAGAAATGAAAAAAATTATAACATTGTGGAAGAGAAAAGGACATAGGGATACGAGTTAAGAGTAACTCTCCATCACTGTAACATGATACTATATACAGTCAGAAAGTGCAATAACTAGGCACAAAACTGACAGAGTACTGAAACATTCGACGTCCTGACACCTAGCTTCAACACATCTCCGTAGCGCTAAGTGTAAATAGTGTATATAGTATCATGTTACAGTGATGGAGAGTTACTCTTAACTCGTATCCCTATGTCCTTTTCTCTTCCACATTTATTTATGGCTCAACATCCGAGTTTCAAATTATAACATTCCTATGCTTTTTGCCTAGGTCATCAAGGTGGTAGACGGTGTCGTATTACCCTCGAATGCAAAGAGAAAGTTAATTTCAGCAAGGTAACGACCGCAGACTTCTGGCCTTCCAAGGTCACGGTTCGGCCATGGAGGTTCAGCGCTGACACCCTTCAACGATGATCCTGAACTGTCATGCTAACAAACCAACAATCCTGAACTGTCATGCTAACAAATCAACACACACAACGATGCAGCAACAACGACTAAATCCCAACGCCCCTGTATTCACCCCACGATCGAAACTAGCCCACCCGCTCTATCCCGCTCAGACCTTCCTCTGGCCGACCCGCACACATTGCATGTATGAACGCTAGATCAATTTAAAGGAATAAGCATGGAGAACTTTCCGAGTTCATCGAGCAGTACAAGCCCGACGTTATTGGCCTCACTGAAACATGGCTGTCTCAGCCTAACTTCCTTGTAGTTTCCTTGCAGGCTACGACTGTTACCGCCGTGACCGACCCACAGCGGACAACAAGAAGAGCACTGAAAGATTTAGGGGGTTTGGAGGTGTCCGCTCAGATTTTCCAGTACAAGTAAGCATCGCACTGATCTACACCTCCCCAAATTTGAGACCACATGGGTCGAAATAACAGCTCATACATCGACCTCATCACCTGAAAAAGTGATGGAGCGTATTGTGAACTGTCAAATTGTGAATCACCTTGAAAAACATCATCTCTTGTCAACCAAGCAGTATGGATTTCGCAGTGGCCTTGGAACAGCGGACCTACTAGCAGTGCTTGGGCCACCTTCTGAATCTCTCACTACTGGATGCGTTTACAGGCCACCAAGCGCGTGTGCCACTTATATTGACAATTTTGTGGGCTGTCTGCAAACAGTCCTTCAGGCGACCAGCCACACCACTTCCTCTATGCTTATGATGGGCGATTTCCATGCCAAGTGTAGCGACTGGCACGGCAATATCACGGACACTGCTGGACACCAGCTACAATGCCCTGTCTGCCAAGAATGTTTTCCCTCTCCCAGTTAGTCAACTTCTCTACTCACCACACTCCAGCCGGAGCAGGAGCAGCCTTGGACTTCGTATTATTACTCATACACCATCTGCGTTATCCATTTCAGACATTATTGCTCCTGTGGGTCAGTCTGACCACGACATCGTGTTGGATCGTAAGGAAGCGCCTAGCCTGCAACACTATCAAGAAGCAACGTTCTCTCCTGCATCAGGTACAGCCTATGAGCGCTCACCGTCCACGCCAGATGACTTGATCGGCAGGTCACCGCCCCGCTATCATTTCCGTACGATCACAAATGACCAGTGGAACTGTATAAACCAGCAGCTTACTTCCGTGGATTGAAGGGAGCTTCTTGGTAACACAAGTATCGACGTCGCATGCGAGAGATTCTTATCTTAACTGCTCTCGCTAAGTATCAGTTCCCAGCTTCCCCTGTTAATCACCCCTCTTCACTGGGTCGTTCCGTCGACAAGCAAGCACATCCACCCTGGCTGACGACCCTATCCGTCGCTTACTCATTTTGTCCGCTCCCTGGCTGGTGTGTCTTCGCATCATCCTGCACCTTCAGCAATGACCACCTCCACTGACACCCTCACACATAATCCTGCTGAGTTGACATCTGCTCCCAACGAGCACTTTGTACGGGTTGGCACACAGGATGATCCTGACTGGCCCGTCCCAGATCTGTCTCATCTCCCCTCTCTGGCCTCGAACCTCTCAAACACTGTTATATCCTCTGAGGCCGTGATTCCCTTTATTGAGAAACTCCCCACAGGGAAGTCCCTAGGCTATGACGGTATAAGCAACCAGATTCTGAAGGCCTTGAAACTTTCTATCTCCTATCCTCTCTCTCTTACCTTCAATAATTCCCTGTCCAGCGGCGTTTTTCCTACTGCCTGGAAATATGCTGTGGTTGTGCCCATATACAAGAACGAGGGAAGCAGACATGATCCTGGTAACTATCGCCCTATCTCTTTGCTGAACACCTGCTCCAAGATACTTGAGAGAATCGTCTATGATCGGCTGTGCCATCATCTGGCACCTCTGCTCCATGATATGCAATCTGGGTTCCGCCATGGTGACTCTACCTCTCTACATATAACCAACCTTGTACAGAGACTATGCACCCTCCGAGACCGACGCCATTAGCTTGGCCTGTGTTTCTTCGACCTGGCGAAAAGTTTGACTCAGTTTTGCATAGGGGGTTACTAGCCAAGCTGCATGCTTCACCGGCCGCCTGCAGTCGTGGCTCACCTCCTATCTCAACCACAGGACTCAATCAGTCAAGCTTGGTCCAGTCTTCTCAGAGTCCTATCCCTATTTGCTCCGGTGTACCGCAAGGCTCCACCCTAGGACCGTTACTTTTCATGGCCTTCGTCAACGACCTCCCTGTCCTCAACGCTGGCGTGTCTCTGTTTGCAGACGACACTTGCATGCTGCGCAGTAGTCCCTCTGTGTCACGTCTTATATTGTACCTCCAAGCGGGTATCATGGATATCACCTCATGGATGGCATTGTGGAAGCTTAAGCCTAACATCGGAAAGACCAAGGTAATGATCATTCCCCCTCTGTCTACTACTCTCTACTACCCTCTCCCTCCCCTAGTATTCCATTTCTCCACCACTCCCATAGAATATGTATGTCATCACAGGCATCTTGGTGTCATTTTTGACACCTATCTCTCCTGGACTCACCATGTTGCCCACATATGTAAGAAGACGAGTCAAGCCATATGTATGATATACTCACACCGCGCCCGTCTTCCTGACAGCTATCGTGCTCTTTTTTATAATGCATATATCTTGCCGCATTTTTACTACTGCTGTACTGCCTGGACAAATCTATCTATTATAATACTGTGTTATCCTCGACCAGACCTCTCCTAGAAAGACGACGAATCATGATGTGGTGTCTTATCCATCGTATTCGACTTTCCAAAATACCCCCGCATCTTAAACAATTTGACTGGTTCCGAAGGGATAGCTCCACTAGGAACCAACTCTCCCTTCCTCTAGCCCGCTCCTCTGCATTGCTTCCCTCCCCCATTTTCAATGGCTATTTGCATTGGCTTTTGCTGCACCAGGAGACAAAGGGCCTTTCTACTTTAACAGCATTCAGGAACGCCTTGCTTTACCAGTAGACCACAATTTTAGTCCATATTTGCTTCTTTTCCTTTTCTTTGTGACTTCTTACTCTTTCCCTTGTTAGCCGTGGCTGGCTATAAAAACCCTGCAATCGCCACGCAAGGTGATCATTGGCTACCCCAGCCATGCATTCCTTGGAATAAAAACAAATAATTATTAATATTATTATTGATCTGGCTATCATACAATCATGACTGTCGTCATTGCTACATAAAGTGCTAACAAGTGTTACGTGTGTCTACGCAAAGGGATCCACGATCCAGTAACCTGGTGACACAAGGAGGGTTGCACCTACCTCTCGCTCATGAGTGTAGCAGATTGTTGCCAAAAAGCTGGGAATTCCCAATACTATCCCGTTTTATATTCACTATGAAAGTCCAAATGCCGCTGAAATCTCACAACATGCTCGTCCTTTTTCCTTTCTAATGCTCTGGTGCTCGGATAGTCCTATAATGCGGAATATAATGCGGAATATAATGCGGGCATTATCCGCTGGACTCTAACCATAACCCACACACTTCATGTGCAAACTAGCCATTCTGATTTTAAAACGGTATTTACAAAATGTAATGTTCTTGACGGTGTGGTCACTAATGAGTGTGGGTTCTGAGTCTGTTGTCGCCACTCGCCTGTTTGCACATGTTTCAAGACGGCCTCTTGAATGATTCTCGTTTCGACCTTACCTTGTTTGTTTATTTATTTATTTTCGTCTGAGTCACGTTGGTGCGAACGTGCACGTGCAGATGCTCAGTCTATAGCCACGTGGTCTATTATGTTATTGCTTTTTTTATGGATTCTCCCCAGGCCTTAAGCCGTGTTCACAACTGGCGCTTAGACGCGGTACGCTTGCGGTTCATGCGTGCTCGAATGCGCGCTCAGGCTTTCTAAAAAGACAGCAATTCGACACGTACGTATTTAGGGCGTGAGGCGCCTTTGAGTACTAATTTTTGGACCCCGCCAGTCAAAGTGACTGGCGTGTACGCTGGTACGCGCTGAAAATTCCAACATTTTGGAATTTCCATTTCGGCGCGTTTCCGTAAGCATGGCGCCCCAAATGCCAGCAAAAAATACGCACAACCGCGTGGTTTCACGCGTACACGCGCCAGTTGTGAACACAGCTTTTTAGCCTAACTTGAGGGAGTCGTTATTATGAGAAGTGTCATTGCTGTTTTTCAACCGACACTGATAATTCTCTCCGTCTGTCTCATCGCGTTCTAATGTTCTCCTCCGTCTCCTTCTCTCTATTCTGTTTCAACTTCGAATGTGTAATTGTTTGAGCCAGGGAGTCGTAACAATTGATGTTATTTCACGACTCCCTGGTTGGAGCTGCTCTCATGATACATTGTTTGTATTTTTGAAAACCCTTTGTAACAGCGATCATGCGCTTGTACAGCTGCGCTGTGCTGTATGTGCTATGACCAGGGAGTAGTACACAACCCCTTGCACTATACTCCCTGGCTATGAGTATAATATGTCACGTGTACATGTACCGGAATGTGGTGGCGCAATCGCGCCGTGCCTTTGCTGGCCTTTGCTCCTTCCTTTTGTTTTAGGCTGCGTTTACACGGAGACGGAACGAAACGAAACGGAACGAAAAGGCGCTGGCCTTGAACCGTTTTTAAACCGTTTACATGAGAACGGCAAATCATTTAGAATCCTTTAAACGAAAACGGAAAACGGGCAATCAGGCTGGAGTTAGCAAGTCCTGGCTTGGCGCAAGGGCAGAATCTAACACGTTAGTTGGAGTTGGCATGTGCTGGTGGGCGCAAGGGTTGGATATTTCCCGCAAAATATATTCCCACACGGATTGGTTTCCATGACCGCGCTTCGTTTCCAGTCGTTTTCACCGTTTAACTTACACGAGAACGAAAACGTTTTGAAAAGGTTTTCAAAACACTTTGAAGTGTGTTTCCATTTCGTTCCGGTTAGGTATTGTTTTTGGGCGTTGTCCTGAGTTGTCGTATAAACGATAGTAGAAAACGAACGATTTCGTTCCATTTTGTTTGGACTTCGTTGTCGTGTAAACGCAAATCGTTGTCAATCGTTGTCATGTAAACGCAGCCTTAGTTACGGTTATAATTTGTTCGTATTTTGTTACGAATTTCCCAACAGGTAATGTTGTCTTTTTACTGCGAACCCTAAATGTGACTTTGTGAGAGCGATGGTTGAAGTCTTTTGCGAGGAGAAATCCAGAGCGTCTAATGGTGTCTTGTCCCATTTGCGTTCGAAGAGTGTGCCTGTGGACGTGGATCGGATTTTGAATTCCTGCCCGGAACACGTATTTTATGAAAGGTCAATCTATGGAATAATGAAAGACAAAATACAGGGAAGGTGCGTCGAATTAGAAAGAAGTATTGGTACACAGTCAAATATAGCCATAGTCAAACGCTTTCGATAGAATAATCATCAATAATTTCTAATGGAGCAAGAAAAAGAACATTTGGAACTTGCGATGAGTTCCTTTCCTTTGTCTAATTTGATTGGCTCAAAATAAGAGTTTCACATCAAATAGTGAGAATATCGTACTGGAAGACAACACACACTGTACGTATGATTAAAAGAAAGGGAGACTGGGCCAGACAACACTCGGCCGCTTGTCAGCTGCTAGGAAATAAAAAAATAAAAAGGGCGCAGTACCGGTAGTATGGAATGAGAAAGCATACAACAGGGCTATGATCATAGTCTTAGCATCTCCGCATGTATGTGAATGTGTGGGAATGTATCGAAGTTTGATGGGTGGAATGATCATAGAACCTTCATCTCTCGGCCACAAGAACACACTCTCTTCCGGAATAGTCATTTATACAATTAATAGAAAGATCATGTTGACTGGATTGTTGAGACACTGGTTTGGTCAGGAATACTTACTCTAGTATTATTATCGCTTTGGGAATACAGAAACACGTTGGGAAAAATCACGTTGGGAAAAATCATTTACTTCTGTATTGTTTAAAAAACAAGCGTGTCGGAGACAGCAATTATAATATTATAGCAACAAGGATGATCAATATCGATGTAAACATATCCTTATAATTATGTCTACATGCATGAGTGAAAAGTTAAGCGATGATTGCAAGGCATACAATGAACAAGAAAGAGAGCATTCATTCTGGAATAGTCATCTGCATTGGGAATGCTCATCCACACCGGGCATACTCATTTCTATTGGGAGTATCCATCCACATTGCAGAAGAAGAGGTCCGTTGTCTCCTATATGATGTTCCCTAGTAAGACAAACCACAGCCAACATACATTACTTCAGGTCAGAAGTCTAGCAATGTGGATCTGCCGGGGCTACCCCTTAAAACATCATCTTGATCATTGCCTGGAAGTGCCATGTCCAGTGCATTCGAATGAAAATGCAGAGCAGCCTACTGAACCACCTGGCAAATATTCCTCTGCATTAGCAGAGAAATCTGCACTTGAAATTCTTGAAGTGCTTGGGTAGGATTTCTAATTGTTTCCTTTTTTCGGAATTTTTTTGGTAGGCGTGAGTGTTGAAGTCTTAAAAGAGAATAATATTGAACGGTCTCTGCTAGGATGACAGTCCTGCACCATAGCTCAGTGGTTAGAGCATTGCTGGCTTCAAGCAAACGTTCCTGGTTCCAGTCCTGGGAGTGACAGTCAATTGTTTCTTCAGAACTTTCGATTTTTTAAGTACTACTTCCTCCGCGCTGGGAGCTGAAATATTTGAGCTGGTGCGCATTTTCCTTACTGATCGTGTCATGGTGAGTTCGACTAGCTGTGATCAGTCAGGCGTAACCACCTGCACATTTCTCTGGTTCAACCCAGCGATGTAAGGTTCGAACCACATGAACACAATACATATTTTCAATAATAACCCTTTTTTAGGGCAGGGCGCCCCTGTGGTAGAACCCGCTCGTTGCCTACTACATCTACTCATCCCCATCACTCAAAATACTGATCTCTGTTCGCGCCGGAGCAGGCGTACAAATGAGTTCGCTGAACGAACTCCAGCGCTTGGCTCATGCTGGTTGAGGAAACAACAGGCAAGAGCCATGCAGTGATGCACGCGCGTGCACCATACCAGTGATACTGGAACAGAGGGCACGCTGTGGATTCGCTCAAGGAAATCGGATTATCCTATTGGATGTTGGTAGAAACAAAAATTCCCAGCACATGATAAATCAGCCACAACAGGCAGCAGGCACCTCGTGAACACCAGGTGGCATTGTGAATCAGTGTCGCTCCTGGATGGGCTAGCATGCACAGGGAAGAGTGAGCTCCGTTGTGGGGAGCAAACCCTTCGCTGAAAAGTCATCGCCGAAGTCACTGCCACTATTTCGTACTGGTGTGCACAGGGCAGGCTGGCGACTTTGTAGTTGGTTTGAAGTGACAGCGTTGTGAATGACCGAGGGTCCTGCACGTCTGTTCCAGGAATGATGCTGACTCACGCTGCTATCTGTTGTTCACGAGGCGTTTGTCGCGCTGGAAACGGAGCGTCTCTGTAAGTTTGTAACCATGGTGATGGTTTGGTCAGGAGAGCACTATATAAGTGGTGCTCCTCAGATAAAATCTTCCTTACCCTACTCAAACTCAATTGAGGCGGGGTGAATTTCCTGAAATAGTGTTTGTTGGGCAGGGAGCGGTGCTTTCTTGCAGGTCGGCGGAAAAGCTGAAGCTCCAGTGTCGGGAGCAAACCCTTTCCTAATACGAACGTCCTGAAAAGCGTTTAAAGAGACCCGGACCATGAAGATGTTTCCTTTTCCCGGTTCACAACAAAAGATGACGTTTCTCACCATTGTGAACTTCCTTCCCACCACTGTATTCCAGGCTCCTGTTTGTTGACGGAACATATTCACAAGTCAACGTCAACTTCCACCTGACTATCATTTCCAGTGCATACACACATAATTATCACATACACTTCTTCACTCTCTTCGGAAGCGGAAAGGCGGTTCTTGACCAGAGAGTTGTACGACTCCTTTTTCTTGACCTGCCCAGTACGCGAACCCATCGAATTTGTTTTCTTCACTCTCTTACATTTCATCTCTTCGTTACCTTGTTAATGGGAAGAAACTCCCCTTACGGATTTGTGAAATAAAACAAAGGTTCAGTAAAAGAAGGTCAACAACTTCACTTTGTCATTTTCCCTTTTATCAAGTGCATTGTGACTCATCTCATGGTGGTGTATTGTAGGAAGTAGCAAGGATCATTTGATTCGCGCCGCAGGTATTCACACCGAGATCATGGACAGAGAGGTTCTGCAAAACGAAAATGCGTACAAACTGTCGCCCTACGTCATGAAGTGAGAAATGTCGCACGAACTTTCGCAAAGCTTTGAACACGAAATGAACTTTCGTGGGAAATTTCGTGAGATCAGAACATGGTGTACGTGCACTTGGCATGTGCAAACTACGAAAATTTGCAGACCACAACGTTTGTGCGAAAATTCTTACACATTTTTGCAAGACCTGTCACGAAACTTCGTTCGAAATTTCGTTTTGCGGAACCTCTCTAATAGCTGTCCTTCTTGGCGTTCTACCAAAGTGCTGCCATCATCTGTTGCAGTTATTCTTGCAGTTGTTCTTGTCCAATTTCTTCTTCCAGCTGGTTGTGCAGTTCTGAAGCATTGAAGAAAAATTGAGAGGCCGAGTTCATCTGAACAACACTTACTTATGCAACGTGGTAAATTCTTCCAGATGCCATCCGGCCCGCAGGCCACTTCTTCCTTGAGGGTGTGAAGTTGATAGCCTGTCTCACATGTAACATGCAGATCCTTGCTAATGGATCGGTATCCGAGTAGATTGAGCTGCGCTTCATCAACTCTGCATTCTGCAAAGAGGAGGAAGAAAAACAGGCAGTTTTGTCAATTCGAAGACACGCTAAAACATTGAAATCGACTACACTCGAAGATGTCCGAGAAAAGATTTATCTTTACCTTTGGTACAGTCGATTTTTTGCACGGCGCCTCGGTGACTGAGTCTTAAAACGAGACTTATATTGTAACAGGACTTGCAACTAAAGGTGAAGTAGGCACCAGTTTGTACTTACCTGGGATACCTTCAATACAACGTAATTTATCGCCACTTCAACTCGTCGAGTGACGGAAACCCGTGAATGAAGTAAAAAGACGACAATCTGACAAAGTCATGCTGAACTTCATGCAATTTGTGCATTAGAACGACAGCACAGCAGCGCAGTTAGTGAGGGATAGAATTGCAATTCCGCCTAATAAAAGACTACAAGCAGCTATTCTCTGCTGCCGAATGTTGCTGCATCGGCCCCTTATTGAACTATTACTACAATTATTCATAAAAATCACCATGGAGTGCAGTAGAGCGTTTTTTAGCTCTGGTTTTCAGTGGGGTATTTTTGGTAAGGTGTGCCCATTGTGGCTAGACTTTGCAATAATGAGCCCAGGAGTTATCGGTGTAGATGTTCAAGACCAATTTGTCTATCCTAATCCAACTGCTGGCTCAATAACAGAGTCAAGCTCTCAAACTTCTATTGCGCAGCTCGTAGAATTGTTCCAAGCCAAACGAAGCGCAGCGGAAGACAGGGAGAAGAGGCTTGGGGTTTGCATAGACCTGTTGACTCAACAAGTACAATCTTTGACGCCGATGACCACCAATGCTACTTTGCATTAGGTTGAGTCAACATCAACTAGCTTGGCCGCCATTGCCAGTGCAGGCACGAAGAAGAAACATAAGCGCACAGCAGAGTGGAAGCAACAACAGAAAAGACGGTACAACCTCTAGTACGTTGGCGTCGGTTGAGACCCCGCTTGGTTCAATCAGCGACTTTCTAACGGATTCAAATAGTGATTCCCACGGCACCAAGCATGGTTAGGTTACAGCTGGCGATGCAAGTGATCCGCTTTCCCATCTTGAAGAGTTTGAGGAATTGTCCGAAGATAGTGATTACAATGGTGCACAGTGGGAGGTCGTCGCATCGAAGAAAACCAACAGAGAGAAAGAGTGTCCTGTCCATAGGCGATTTAAAGAAGGATATGTCAGTGGGGCAGCTGGAAAACTTCCTTGTGAGCAGAGCGGATAGAGCTGGTGTCTCTGTTCGTGTCTACAGCTCCAAAGTTTTTTTCAAAGGCAGACTCGTGATCTGCACGGATTGTTATAAACTCTAGCACCAGCGGTTTTGTTCAACACCAAAGCTTCTGGCCCAATCCAGCGTACACCAGGCAGTGGAAGTTTGAAGGCAACAAGATGCCCCAACATGAATCCAATTATCCCGGCTCCAATTCCGTCGGCGACGAGTCTGTTGGGAATGGACAGGCTATGGACTGAATCATCACCCATGGAGCTGTCAGCAGCAATTGTGTTTCTGAACGTGTGTAGTTTGCGCACTAAAGTAGCTGAAGTCAAGGAGTTCATGTCCTCCACAGACATACATCTGTTTGGAATTGCAGAGACCTGGCTGAAATCTTCAGTAACTGATGGCGAGATTTCAATTCCTAACTATAATTCTATCGTTTCGTAAAGACCGCCAATTGCATGGTGGAGGTGTGTGTGTCTCCTGTCATAAGTCGCTAGCAATACGTGGCAGGATGGACTTGGAATGTGAGACCTTAGAACTGGCCTGAGCTTGGCACTGGCGAGCAGAGAATACTTGTTGCATGTGAATACCGACCACCGAACATGCGTTCTGCTTACTGGGAAGATTTCGAGGAGAACATTGATTATGCTTCCCAAGGTCGTCAATAATCTATTGTGCTTATTGGTGATCTGAATATTGACCTTGGCAACACGCAAACTGGTTCCCAAACTGGTTCCCCGTACATCGCATCCTCGCCCGCTTTGGCTTACAGAACTACCAGAGTCACGAGTCACTCACAACTCACAATCTACCATAGACCTATTCCTGTCCACCACCCCCATTCAAGGTCCTTCTGAAATTGTGTACCTGGATATCAGCGACCATTATGCTGTCCTAGCTCGTCTTCCTTGCAAATCTAGCTCAAGACGCCAGAGGGAAACAATGACAAAGAGCTGTTGCCTTCATCATGTTGATTGGAATACTTTTCAAGTTGACCTAGCCTCTACGCTGAATTCATCATTTAACGAGGATTCAATCGATAGCATGGCATGCTCTGTCACTGAAAAACCTCTATTTCATAGAGCAATGTGCTACAGCAGATCAGAAGAAGCTTTGGGCAGTCATGAACACCGTAACAGGCAGAACGAAGAGTCGGCACGCACCACAAGTAACTGTCACAGAGCTAAATGATGCATTTGGAGCCATTGTCCATGATCCCCATCAACCAGCCACATTGCCAATGCCAGCTGGCCCAACTGGCTCAGTGTGACTGACATCTTTCACTGCAGTTCAGATTCCTGATGTTTCCACGTAATTACAGTGCATCAACCCCACTAAAAGCTACAGCCTAAGTGTGAATTTATTTTACTTCTGCTTGCAAAGGTTGGGCTTAGGCTGTTAGATAGGTCGTCAAAACCTCGTTAGTTATGTCCAGTGGTTGTCTCTTGTTGTCGCACTAAATGTCAAGCTTATTGAGCTTTCTCGCACTGGCACCTTTGTGTCATTATTGCTATGTGTATAGGTCACGCATTTTCGCTGTTTACTTTAGCTATCTTCTTCTTTGCGCTGTTTCCCCACCTCCTTACTGTACTTAATCCGCTGTTCCTGTCCTTTTCCTTTGCCTGTATTTCACCTGATGAAAAGGCTTGAAAGTATACTTGTAAAACCAAAAAAATTTCAAGATATTCATAAAGAGCCTGACGTGTGTCCTTTTTTATGAGTATTATCGCATTTTGTCTTAGGGCGCGCTCACACTGCGACCAAAACCAGCGTCCATGCGGCCATGCGGCCAAGTTGCATGGCAACGGCATGAACTTGACCAAAACGTCGCGGCCACGTTTCAAATCGTGACCGCGACCTCCGGAGGGGGGTGCCACGACTTGGCGGCAACATGATCGTAGACGTGAAGCATATTTGTGTACAACCTGGCCTGAAGTATGTTCAATTTCTCAAATTCCGGTGTGGTGATTCATGAAAATCGGCGGTTGTCGATGTCACCTCGACATTTGCACATTTAAAAGTTTTTTTAGGTGTGGTCCTGCACGCACGCACCGCCATATATATATATATGCATTCTTTGCCCTTTTTGGACGATGTCGATTTTGTTTTTGTTTTTGTAGTTGCTTGGTTGTGATCAGGTCAGTGACCAATTTCTACAGTGTACTCGTTCAATACGATGGCAGCTTGGTCTGGCTTTTCGGTTTCGGAAATCATCTTTCTCTACTTTTCTGCGATGATGGAATGCCATACCTCAAGACATTTCAGTTACATATCACCGGAAAATACAGTTCTCATCCCGGCAACAGACGAAAGAAACCACTACCGGAATTTCCACTGCACTGGCACTTGCTCTGACCACGAGGTCAGGAAAGCGAAAGCGCTTGGATGTCAGCGGCAGTCCCTCAAGAGTCCAAACCTTCCTGATTGTATGAATTATTTTCGTCGACTTCAAGAATACGAGCCACGAGGCACTTCCTCCAACATGCAACATGCGAAAAATTACATCCAAAACGGGCCACAACTTTATTAGGAAACGCACGAACTCTTTTGGATACGAACTGCAATTCGTAAAGTTTGTGTGACAACTTCACGTCCACGCGTGTACGAGGCCTAGTGTGAGCACGACTTCCACGTTTCTGCGTTTTGCTGACGCATGGACGCGTGCTCATGGTCGCAGTGTGAGCGCGCCCTAAGAGGAAACTGTTTACTGTTCATATTTGATCATCATACTACTGTTATACTGTCGTAGTACGTTATTTTGTGTACGTCTTGTGTACGCCATGTTGGTGCATGCGCATGTTGCTGGGGTGGGAAAGCAGTCTTCGTCTTGAGTTCATGATGTCTTCGTCTTGAGTTTGTCATGTCTAGTTGTGTTTCGTCGGCGTGTCAATACAGACTCTTCTAAATGTAGTTATCGTCGTCTCTTTGTACAAGTGTGGAGATGGCACGGGACTGGGAGCAGGCAGAGAAACGCGAGTTACAACATTGCTGGCAGCGGTGATTGGATTGGATTGGATTTTGGATTGGATTGGTTTATTTAACGTCGAATAACAAACAGGCAGTGTTGCCTTATTACATGAGATCGACTAAAGACAAACAGGCACACAAATGTAAGGAAAAGATTAAAGAGAAAAAAAAGAAAATAGAAAAAAAGAGTAGGATTTAAGACAGCAGCTAGCTAGCAGAGGAAAGATTGCATAATTATTTGATCAGTGAGCAACGTAAGTCGGTGAATTTTTCAGGTGGGGTAAAAGAGCGGTCCGGAATTGACCTGGTTTCTTCAGTGATCGTATAGATGCAGGCAACTTATTCCAGAGAGCGGGACATTGATATGAAGGGCTGCGTGTGGCAGCGGCAGATATGATCCTCGGGAAAAGAAGCAGGGGAACATCTGTGCTCCTCGTTCGACGAGTGTGTGACAGAGGTGTGACAAGGTCATGACAAGGTCGAAATTTGTTGTCAACTTCTGGATTCGTCCTGCGTAGCCTTCGCTTCCAGTTTCCGATGTCATCTCCAGTCGTACTATCGTCACAGTTTTGTCCGTCTTGAAGAAGTTCGTCCGTCGTCTCCGTCCTTCATCATTCGTCTCTCCCATCTCTTGGCAGTCGTCGTCACTGATGGTCCCGGACACGACGTAAAACTGTGCTCAGAAGAAAAGCTTAAAAAAAGAAGAAGGACGGATGGTCCCGGACACGACGTAAAACTGTGCCCAGAAGTGAGAATGTCGACGCTGAGCAGCCCTCCTGGAGATGGTGGACGACATGGCAGACGGCGTGAGGAGTTTCGCTGGTGAGAGGGTACGTGTGTTGTTGTGAACGTGAGGAGTATGTGAGTTTTGTATTTTCTGTTCTCCCAACATTTTTGTTCATTATTATTTGCTCTCCTCGAGGGTAAAGAGGCGCCCGCACAGCACGTGTGTTCAGTTCGTTTTTTTGATTTGCTCTTCTATGAGGATAACTAGAGGCCGCCACAGAGCCAGTGGATTCTGTTCTTTTTGTTATTCCTATGATTTGTGCTCTCACATTTTAGAATTTTTGCGTGATCGTGAGGTGGTGTGTTGAGTGAAGGAGTTAGAGTTTTTGAGGTTATCAGCTCCCACAGTGTGACAGCGATCGTGGCTGGTGTTCTGGGTGGGCGGACAGAGTTTTTTAATAATCTGCAGTGCAGGCAGAGGTTTTATTTATGGGTGTGACTGGTATGGTATGATTGAGTGATTTGTGTGATCTTTTCCTCTTTTTACTCTGTTTATTATTAGAATCGAGGACGATTCTAATCTTGGGAGGGAGTTATGTTGTAGTACGTTATTTTGTGTACGCCGTGTGTACGTCATGTTGGTGCATGCGCATGTTGCTGTGGTGGGAAAAGCAGTCTTCGTCTTGAGTTCATGATGTCTTCGTCTTGAGTTCGTCATGTCTAGTTGTGTTTTGTCGTCGTGTCAATAAAGACTCTTCTAAATGTAGTTATCGTCGTCTCTTTGTACAAGTGTGGAGATGGCACGGGACTGGGAGCAGGTAGAGAAAAGCGAGTTACAACAATACTGCTATCATACTACAGTATTTCCCCGTAAGTTAGTTCTCCCCAATGACTTAGTACCGCCCTATAAAAAATACACTTTCCACTGCCGAGGTTATCACCTCGAAAGACAGTTCCCCCCGAAAGATAGTAAGTTCGTACCCGTCCTACATGTACAGACACCGTACAGTACATACATCATATGCACGGACACTAGAGTTGCGCAGGCCTCCCATTGCGTGTCATTTACCCCCGATAAAAAAGTACTCCCCGAAAGATAGTACCACCACCGAAAGTTAGTACTCATGTGGCTGCTAAGTTTGAAAGTTAGTACGTACTAACTTACGGGGAAATACCGTATCATACAGCCAAGTAGCTGTGGCATCATTTATGATCCAATGCCTGCACCTATGGTGAAGTAAAATAAGGGTAACATTTTTTATATTGCAACACCTCAAGACTCGGTTGAGAGACCAGTCAATGTGAGGAGAATAGCACTGAAGTTGCTTTTTTTCTTCCTATTATTCACAAACCCAACTCGTAAAATAAATAATTATGTGGACGAAAGCAAATAGGTACTAAGTAGGGGCTGAACTGGGGGGGGGGGTTCCAATTGAAGCTGATGATGATAACACTTACCAATTATGCACAAGAACATCAAATTAGCGGGGTAGACATTGTCAGCGTAGGATCGCGAACTGATTACTCCATAATCTACATAGAAGATAGAGATGTCCCCAAATACTGCCCAATTTGGTCCCCACGCCAAGTCACTCCCGTTCAACGGTAGGTCCAGGGTTGAGTATGGCAGTGTTCCATTTCGCTTCTGACAATCAGATCTGATGGTCGCTACGGATACATGTCCTGTCCTGTCAATGGCGTACACGGATTCTCGTAACCAATGGAATGTTGCTGCAGAAGCAGATTTTGCAAAGCAAATTAATCAACAACGCAAAACAGATTATTGGATAAAATTTGTGCATTCCGCACAAGCCCACGTTTGTGCCAATCATTGACAGTGCTATTCTCCTGCGATATGATCAAAATACTGTCTTGTGCAGCATGTCATGCGATGGAATGGTTGCCAACAAGACATGCAATTGAATGGTTGACAACAAGACATGAAATGGATGGGTTGACAACAAGATATGAATTGGAATGTTTGTCAACAAGATATGAAATGGAATGGGTGCCAACAAGACTTGAAATGGATGGGTTGACAACAAGATATGAAATGGAATGTTTGTCACCAAGATATGAAATGGAATGGTTGTCAACAAGATCTGAAATGGAATGGTTGACAACAAGATATGCAATGGACTGGTTGTCAACAGGATCAGAAATGGAATGGTTGCCGACAAGACATGAGATGGATGGGTTGACAACAAGATATGAGATGGATGGGTTGACAACAAGGTATGAAATGGAATGGTTGTCAACAAGATCTGAAATGGAATGGTTGCCAACAACACATGCAATGGATGGGTTGACCACACGATATGAAATGGAATGGTTGTCAACAAGATAAGAAATGGAATGGTTACCATCAAAATATGATATGGATGGATTGACAACAAAATATGAAATGGAATGGTTGTCAACAAGATCTGAAATGGAATGGCTGCCAACAAGACATGAGATGGATGGGTTGACAACAACATATGAAATGGACTGGTTGGCAACAACATATGAAATGGAATGGTTGACAACAAGACATGCGATGGAATGGTTGACAACAATACATGAAATGGATGGGTTGACAGCAAGATATGAAATGAAATGGTTGTCAACAAGATCTGAAATGGAATGGTTGCCAACAAGAGATGAGATGGATGGGTTGACAACAAGATATGAAATGGATTGGTTGTCAACAAGATCTGATATGGAATTGTTGACAACAAGACATGAGATGGAATGGTTGACAACAAGAAGGAATGGCTGACAATCAGGTACCAGAAAGAAGGATTGATAAGAAGACATTCTTCCTGACCTCAAGACAACTTACGAACACATTTGTCAATCTTATGCCACCAGTGTACTAGTCCTATAATAGTCGTGCAGTACGGCGTGCCCTGTGGTACATTACTGTGGCCTGCTCTGCAAACAACAGACCCATCTCTGTAAACCTGCTGGTACGCTCCCAAAAGGTTATTGGCTCCATTGACCACGCAGTCTGGGAACACGGAAGAACATGAAAACGTACTGAAGTCGCCTAGAGGCTTAGGTGCTATCCGGCATTATCGATAATTTTCACGAAACGAAAAAGTGTACCGTATTTTACCGGTTATAAGTCGACCCCGGTTATGTAGTATGAACTCTTTTACGCACTTTACTTGTATGCATGCACGTGCCGTTGCGACACGTGTTCACGCCCACCATGTGGTCTTTACACTCCGAGCATGCGGGCCCCTCAGGTACGCATGTGAGGAACTGATCATGCTTGTTCTGGTTTTCGGGAGTTAGGAGTTTGTTTGCACGAAATGAAGTAGAAGCCTTTGCGGTGTGTGTAGTTCTGTTGTTGTCGGACCTGGATGGTTGCTGTGCGATACACCCAAAACAGGTTATAGGTAGACCCCCGTATCCAGAGGTCTTAATTATGTTTTTTAAGTTTTTGCCTAACGAAGCACTGCTAACTGCTCCCTGCTACTAACACATGAACAAATTACATAAACACTCCTCATTGGATTCTGAAACATCCAAATCCTTGAAAAAGGCAAATAAACTTGGTAAAAATGCATACACATGGTGCACTCGTGTATTCAGTGCAGGTTATTTTTGGAAGATACCGATAATTCCCGGTTATAAGTCGAATCCCGGTTGTAAGTCGACACCCACCTTTTCTCCTGCTATTTTCAGTCATAAAGGGTCGACTTATAACCGGAAAAATACGGTAGTTAGGACCCCCACCCACCCACCCACCTGAATGAAAAATAGATTTACTTGACAGCGAGAATACATTGATGTCTCTCATATCAATATTTTTCAAAAACGAAACTCCCCTTGACCCGCCCACCCATAAACGAAACTTTTTTCTCTTCGTGGGCACAAAACTCGTTCCCATGTGTTTTTTCTATTTTTACATTATAACTGGTTAAACAGGAAATGCTTTGAGAATCGAATCGCTAGTGTCACCCTGTAGACACGAGACTTTTTTATTTTTTTGTATTTATGGATTCTCCACAGGCCTTAGCCTAAATCGAGGGAGTCTCCGTCAACAGCTTATGAAGAAGAAGCTGAGGAGAAAAATAAAAATAGGAAATAGAATGATGCGGGGTGGTAGTAATATAACACAGTGCTCTATGACATCGCTACTCTACGTGGAAAGAAACCAGAGGGCTCATAACGGGTGATAGCAAAGTGTATGCGAACACTTTGATGTCCCAGTGCTGTACACTGCCCGCTGCCGCTTTCTCTACGTAGTATGACCAACTAGCTACAGTCAGCATGAACGCATCCATAATGAGTGTTTTACACAAAGTGTCTGTAGTCTTCGCTGGCAAACAGTGCCCAATACCTTAAAAAGGGGCAGAGCTTACCACACAGGGCAGAACAACAGAGACCAAAAATCCTTCTCGTGACTCCGAGTTTCGTGTTTCAAAAAACTTTGTTTCTGATGAGTGGTTTTTGAAACACGAAATTCGGAGTCACGAGACGGATTTTTGGTCTCTGTTGTTCTGCCCCGTGTAATGAGTGTCTTAGCAACTAAACTTGTCAACCAAATCCGCCATCGGTGGCTCGAGCAGTCCCAGTTTGGCACATCATGTGATGCCCACCAAGCAGTGACAGCTGCGACAGGCAGCGACAGCACGCAATTCAACATCTTGGGCTTCTGCAGGCTACAAGCATGTATGGCACCGAGTGTGCTTGCAGTGCAGAAACCGGCAACTCATTGGGTGAGAGATGTGTTTAGCGCTTTGCAAGACGTTGAACTTTGGACAAACATAGTCTTGCAATGTCATGCAAGAGTACACAACAGGCATTATTTTGTTTCACAAGCTCCACATGTTGCTTGCATATCCATGTGGTAATGTTGTGGATCGTTTCACAGAGCCAGGCACATTTTTGGTTTGTTTTATTTGAATTTGCAGGACCAAACAAGCAGAGATACTCAACAACAAGGTTGAGCCAGGAAAGGCACACGCACGATTCACATACTTCAATATTTGAAGTATTAATTACACCCATACTAAGTTGAGCCAGCACACGCAAAAGTCACCCTTAGTGACATATTTTTAGAAACTGAGATGACAGTGGATAAAGGCAGATGGATTTATGCAGAATTCAATGCAAAAAATGTTTGAAAATTCTTGAGTAAAACTTGAGTTACGGGTCTTAGAAAATAGAGCATTTTCCCTGATATATCGCACATCACACGAAAACAGAGAATGTTTGAAGTGCGTTTTTCTCAGTTTGAAGTGCGTGTCACTAAGGTCGATTTCCGCGTGCGCTGCCTCAATTATACTGCTGCTGATGTATCCAAGTAGAACTGAACAAAACATCATTGTACTAAACCAGGCGCATGTAGTCAGACTGCAAGAAGCCACCAAAGCCACACACCCAAGAATCTATGCATCTCACCTGCACGGTAACCGCTTGCAGGTGGATTGACTGCGCAGAACAATACAACAATACACAGAAGGTTCTTGGCGCGCTTTGTCTGTGCAGACGCCGAGACCACCAAGGTCGGCTGAGCACCAGGGCCCCGCCACCACTTTCCGCATTCATTCGGGAGCATAGTGGACTTAGTAAAAAAAGGAAAAAAGGAACTTTCTTTTAAAAGTCACATCTGCTAGCAAGGAAGAACCCTTGGTACATATGGAACTTGACTGGCGAACCATAAATCCATGCACCACACACAGCAACAACAGGTGATGGAGGGAAGAGCGTTCCAACGCCTCTTCACCCCGTGGCAAGTAGTAAAGAACAGAACAGTAAAGGGTGCTCTGGCAAGTAACATGTCACCACACTAATTACCTCTACCATTTCATGTGGACGTGTGCCAGCCTCCAATATGATGTAGACACTTGCTGGAACATAGACTCTGCCATCCTTCATGTATTAAAACAAACATGGCTGCTGGACTTAGGAGCCACTGCTTGAGGTTGTATGAATAACAGCAGCACGAGCATTAGAAATCTCTCCAATACTGTCTCAATGCCACACTCCGTTTGTGGGATCTTGATTCTAGATTAAAATCTTGGCTTTACCAAGGCTGTGTTTACATCAGAAATTTCAACTCGGGTTGAGTTCACCCCGGGTTGAAAGTCTGTACGATAGACGAAATAGGTGAGCGTTCACATGAAGACCGTTGACCGAATACTGATATGCCGCCAAAAGTCCACTTCTAGAGTCCTGTATGGTCACGTGAATATTTTCGCGCGAAATTATTTACATGTGCAGTGCTGTCCAAATCTGGCGCGAGATACACACAGAAGTATGTTAGTACGATTTCTCACTGTGGGTCAAGCACAATGCGTCATGTAAACGCGCCATTAATTTCGTGTACAAGGCGGGTTGAAATCCGACCCGGGTCGAACTCAACTCGGGTTGAAACCTCTCATGTAAACACAGCCCAAGCGAAACAAGCGACGAGGAGACAATAGTGGTAAAAATGGCAATAAATAAGCTCAATAAATATTGTTGAAAGTCACATGCAAGAAAAAGTTATGGAACTTAACTTTCATCATTTTTGGCTGTTGCCATGAGTGCACAATTGATCTTATTTATTGCCATTGAATCAAGAGAGGATTGATTTTTCACCATTAGCTTTTCAAAGGAGCTTGGGATTATTCTCTAGAGGAGAACTTGTTATATGGTCCAGGAAAATAGATGCCGTAAAGGTTCCCGCTATGGCCCTTGTAATTTGGGTATTTTAGCGATGCAATTTAGTGATATTTGGCGATGATTGCCATTGCGTTCCTGGTAGGGGTGAAACGATTAGTTCGAATATTCGAGTAGTCGTTCGAAAATTTCAAACGAGCGAGTATTCGAAATTTTGCACTCGATGTTTTGTTTTTTTGTTTTTTTAGTATTGGCATTCTATTTTTTCAAAAACTTCTGTTGTACCGCTCATCGACTGGTTGCATGCGTTATGCATGCATTTGAGTCAGTATTTTATGACATGGACGATGCGATCACCACGGCAAGTAACGTTAGTTTGTTATGAGATAATGAAAGTACTATTGTACTGGTGAAAATCGTTACTTTACACAAGACGTTGGCGGCTTTTGTTCTATGTTCACAGATAATTTCTTCCGAATTGGTCGAGAACTCACAAATCTAGTGCTATTGAATTTTGATAAAATACTCGAAATAATCGGATACTCGATCGAATATTATGAATGAGTGATCGAGTGGTCAAAAATTCTCAAAATAGATACTGTAATTTCACAAATTTTCGGTGTACTTTTATTTTCGGTACTTTCGGTGCATCTGTTTCATACCTAAAATTTCAATACACCGAACAAACACTAACACACATAATCCAATAGGGAACTGTTTCTCTGCACCGAAAATTACTGTTCACCTAACCTAGCCTGTTGCCCTCATACCGAAAATATTGAGCACCGTAAATTTCTGAAATTAGAGTACTCGTTTCACCCCTAGTTCCTGGATGTAGCCCTGATTCGATGTGGTAGTGATGTGAAGACAACTCAGGTGAGGTAATGTTGCCATAGCGGTGGTTTGTTCTTAGCTCCATTGTGGACACTGCACCAGCGCTCGTTTGGACCCAAAATCCAGTCGCATTTTGGGTCCATTTTGAGGTGCTCCCCAGTTCCAAGGCGTCCGTAAGTTATGCAACGAGACGTTCGATGGTTGTTGTAGACCCCAAAGGAAACCTACTTGCAAAATTTGAGCGAAATCGGAAAGATGACCCAGCCCTGCTTTTTTTTAATTCTTATTTTTTTATTTTTTTATTCTTACTGGTTCAACCCTGCTTTTTCAAACGGTTTTATTGTAATAATAATATTTTTAATTTTTACCGCCCAGGACCACACAAAGTCCTTGGCTACAAAAAAATGAAAATCTCTCCAAATCTCTCCAAACCAAACTTCAAATTCCTTTCCAAATTTTCGCCCAAGAGGGCATCTTCAGGGATATGTGACTCCTATGAACAAAACAACAATATAACTACAGAAAAAGGTAATAATAATAACGTGGCAATATACCAGGAACATCATAACTAGTGCTAAGAATTGAGACTAACATTGTAGATAATGTCACATATTCAGAAACAAAAACAGAACCTACCCACAATATCGCACGCCAGGTAATAGCCTAAAACAAATGTCTCAACTTGCAAGATCTCAAGTCAGGTGATGATGGGTCAGCGTGAAGTGTATGTCTCAACTGGTGTGATTGCCAATTAGATGTGCAGGTGACGAGGCCAGAAAGAGAGAGAAAGAGAGAGAGAGACAGAGGAAGAGAAAGAAAGTGTGCGTATGCATGTGTTTGTGTGTGTGTGTGTGTGTGTGTGTGTGTGTGTGTGTGTGTGTGTGTGTGTGTGAGCGTGCGTGTGTGCGTGCACGTGTGTGTGTGTGTGTGTGTGTGTGTGTGTGTGTGTGTGTGTGTGTGTGTGTGTGTGCGTGAGTGCGAGCCTCACGGGTGGTAATTGCATCCATTCGATGAGATGGTCTTGCCCCAGTAACCATGAAAGGAATTTGAAGTTTGGTTTGGATAGATTTGGAGAGATTTTCATTTTTTTGTAGCCAAGGACTTTGTGCGGCCGTGGGCGGTAACAATTAAAATCATGACAAGGCTACAGAGGAGTCACGCCATTCTTATTAATAATAATACTACTAATAATAAATAAATAAATACAGTATACTAGTAATCAATCAGTACAATGCAAAGAAACCGCTAGAAGCAGTATGCGTAGTAGTCTACGGCCAAGATACCAGAAACCGTATCAAACTCAGCACGGGGTCGAGGTACTAAAACGATTACCAAACTAAGTCAAGAATTGACCATTACATCCCTAGCCCCGGCCAACCCAATTCTTCCTCGCTATTTCTCCTCCTTCGCACATTTTATCTCTTACTGGCCTCTGGATATCGTCAGAATAAATATTCGAAACATGTCCTGGTCCTCCACTTACGTTCGCAGATTGGGAAGTTGACCCAGTTTCCCTGGTGGCAATAGACGCGCTCTGGATTTTTCAGTGTGTGACCTGGTTTACACTGTGCTGAACCATTCTCGGGAATATTGAGAACACCTGTGCTATCCACCGTCGCAGCATAATTACATATTCCTAATTGAGTTAACAGAGATCAGCACAGCATGCACAACAGCGATGATTGGGCAACAGCTGCATACACATTAGCTTTTATATTATTTGGACAAGTTACTGGGTGCGATGCGCATTAATTTCCACAGCAGCAAGCGGACACATATGCCGCATTGGATATGAAGACCCTTGGTGTGCTTCAGCAAAGATCTTTCTTTGCACGCTTGAGCAAGTCAATGCATGGGTAGTATGCCCAGCAGTCAGCTTTGTGACTTGCAACTCGAACTTTGCACTGAATGATCACCAGAAAGTTAGCGATATACCTTATTCGATAACGTGATTTTTGGACTCGCCTCCAGGGAGTTGTCGTAAGTTGGGGCCCTCGTACGTGAAATGAGTCGCAAGAAATGCCCAGTTGGTACAAGGGAATAGTAAAATACCGGTATTTTTCTACTCCTATGTTCCCACGCCGAGTCCACTGTGCACTGAGTGCACGTCTTTTGCCACTCCCTGGTTCCCGGGACCCCGGTTCACGTGATTGTGACGTTTATCGTATTATAAAGGTATATTATTGTATATTATTGTACAGCATTGCATGAATCGGCCTCTCAGGCATTCGGCATATGCAGTCGCCCACAACAACTGATCAAGACATCTGATCCTACCATTCGGACACTATCCGAACAACAGAAGCAGCTGCACATTTTAATCAACAGAGAAAACAATAAGGACAAGAGACAAGCACTGAAATCAAATCGGAATAAGGTGCTGCAGAAAATTCGATCTCTCCTAAAGACCCAAGAAGACCAGTTCTGGCAGGACAAAGCCAACGCTGTTGACGCCAGGAGACCTGACGCCAGATCCTATTTCAGCGCAATCCGACAGCTGCGTGATCTGCGTGGGGGCAAGAAGTCTCATCGTATTCAGCTGGCCAATGAGGATGGAGAGATCGTAACTGGTCTACAGTGGAACTTGGACAAGTTCCGGGAGTATTTCTCATCAGTATTCTACAACTCTGACCTGCCCACGGACCTAGTAACCGAACAAGTGGTGTCTGAACCCCCTTCACAATTGAGGAGGTCAAGGCAGCTATTCTCAGTCAACGAACAAAGGGAGCCGCTGGGTGTGATGGGATAAGTGCAGCGATGCTGAAATCCGCCATGGACATCATCAGAACATGGTTAGCAAACCTCTTCAATGCTGTGCGGATCCTATGCCATTGCCCGAAACGATTTGAGATGCGGAGTGTTGATGCCAATTTACAAGCCTGGTAAGCATATGGGAATACCAAAGAGCTACCGACCCATCACGCTATTATCTGTGGTGAGGAAAGTGCTGACATGTATTCTGAACCGTCGAACGCGGACAGCAGCAGCAGACAGCTACGTAAGGGAGTCTCAAGCAGGATTCAGACCAGGCCGCTCAACAGCAGACGGTGTGTTCTATTCAAGAATGCTGTGTGAACGCGCAATGCTTGGTGATTGGTCATACTCAGCAGCGCTGCTGGACTTTTGTGGTGCATTCGACACCCTGGTTAGGAGTACAGCGCTGGACAGGATGACGGTGGCGGGGGCGCAGACATCGACTGTATCAGCATTGATCTCAAACACAACAGCCAGAGTAAAAATTTCCAGCCAGCTTGGAGAGGCCTTCCCCACGAACATTGGAGTCGTGCAAGGTGACCCGCTATCGCCCACTATGTTCAATATGTATGCCGAAGGAGCCATGTGGAAGATCGATGCAGTTAGTAGCCTTGCAAGAACTCAAGATGTACCCTCACCTTCAACACAATACGCAGATGATACAACTATGCACGCACCATCGAGGAGTGCTGTGGAGACCATGGTAGCCACATGTGAGCCGATCTTCAAAGAAGACAACCTCAACCTTAATGTACAAAAAACCGTATATTTAACTGCTTCCCGTACTGATGCATCGTGGAAAACGGCCAAGCTCCTTGGTTCCTTGCTGGACTCCACGGAGGATGTGGCAGCCAGGATCGGTGCAGCGAACCGAGCATTCGGCTCGATAGCATGGAAGCGGCATTGCCTGGACTCACGGCTTTGCATGTTCTCGGTTCTCATTGTTCCAGTGCTGCTGTATAACTGCGGGCTGTGGACCCTCACGAAGCGACAGGATGAACAGCTAGATGTATGGCAGAGAAGAAAGCTCCGTTGTATCTTCGGAGTCCACTACCCGCACTGCATATCCAAACAAATCCTGTATGAAAAATCACAACAGCAACCAATCAGTAGGGTCTGCAAGAGAAGACGTCTCCTATGGTTCGGCCATGTTGTTCGGGAAGGTCCGGGCACGGCTTCCTATGGCGCGCTAACCATGGCCATCGACACGTGAAAGATCAAGCGTCCACGAGGACGACCGAGGCTTCGGTGGATTGATGTGGTGAAATCCGACATCTCCCCTCTCGGACACACGCTCGAGGATTGCCTCGACACTGCACGGGACAAAACGCTATGGCTGGACTTCATTGACAAATGTACATCGGTGTAAAAAAAAGGCATGTACTTGTCATGTGCTAGAACCTGTATATGTTTTTTCGTATGCTACTCTAATTTCAGAAATTTTCGGTGCTCAATATTTTCGGTATGAGGGCAAAAGGCCAGGTTAGGTGAACAGAAATTTTCGGTACAGGGAAGCTGTTCCCTATTGGATTATGTGTGTTAGTGTTTGTTCGGTGTATTGAAATTTTAGGTATGAAGCAGATGCACCGAAAGTACCGAAAATAAAAGTACACCGAAATTTTGTGAAATTAGAGTATTCTTCCTGCTGCAATCTATTTCATGATGAGACAGTTGACAGATGCGTGGAACTCATTATTTGGGAGACATGCGACCTGTATTATTATGAGTCTTTATTCCACTCCAAATTGAAAATACAAAATAAAAATTGGAGGTATTACACTAACTCACCGGACTTATCATAGCCAAAGGTAAGCAGCATGGAATAATATATGGAAAAAATAAGGTAGAGAGAGAGGAAGGGAGAAAGGCGCATGTACCATCACAGGCATTAAAGCTCAGAGGTATCATGGCAACAGGTATTGCAGAAAGGGGAGCATCAGAAGTTGGCGAAAAATTCAGGCCGGCAAAGCTCATCACTGGGCACAACTTCCAATGCGCACCCACAGAAAGATCAAATACGAATACCCACAGAAATACCACAGTGTTTCAATTACAAACTAAAACGAATACAATAACATACAGAGCATAAAAAGCCCACCAGGGACAGCGAAGAGCCCTATGCTGCACCCAAAACAGATCTTAGAATGGCCATCGAGCCAAGGATAGCAGCCTGCTGCAGTTCATGAAGGTGCCGCTCTTCTCCACATAGCTGCTTAATTGAGGTAGCCGCTTCCTTCGTCAGGCCACCAAGAGCACCAACTATGATGGGCACTACGGACACTGCCTCTCGCTGCCAAATCTGCCCAATTTCCACAGCGAGGGGCAAGTACTTCGCTCTCTTTTCAGCATGTTTTAGTGTTACTCTATGATCCAGTGGCACACTGACATCAATAAGTTGAACTGACTTGCCATCGTCCCACACAAGATCCGGCCGATTTGCTCCAACCATCCTATCTGTAGGGATTGGCATTTCCCACATTAACTTACGGCCTTCACTATCCTCGACGTAGTGTGGCAAGTGGCCAGGGGGAGCAGGAGATACCAGTCTGTAGCGATGACAGAGTGCCCGGTGGACTATAGCGGCAAGACGATTATGGCGAGTAATGTATGCCGTCCGTGCCAACACGGGGCAGCATGCCAAAATATGGTCAACAGTCTCCCCCGTACCTCCACACAAACGGCACACGTCCACCACGGAAGTGTCGCCAATAACCGATCTTTGGTAGTTCCTGGTATTAACCACCTGATCCTGAGCAGCAAATACGGATGACTCCGTGGATGGACGCAATGTTGGAGACTTTATTATTATTATTATTATTATTTGCAATAAAACGATGAAAATATGAAGAAATGGTGTAGGGAAAAAATATATGGATTCAAACAAGTTTTCGTACAACACTCATCAGGAATCGTCGTTGTACTAAAGGACACTGAAACAAAAAATTGAACTATTATAGAAAATCTAAGTTAGAGAAATAACACTAAGAGCAACAACAGTGAAAATACAAGTGTGAATTTTAACAATCAAAGCGAGAAATGAACAAAGGAGAAAGGAAGGAAAGACAACGTGATAACACATAACAGCAAAACATTACACCTAGAACATTAACGGCCAAGCTTGGCCGCACTAAACACGACACGTTACTTGAACAATTTCAACCCAATTTTACTATCTGTACACACAAATTAGGCTTGTACAGACGCTGATAGATAGCTTCCAACACTTTTAACAGTAGTCCATAACCATGACGACCACGGCACAATACAGTGAACGAAGAGTCGGAATACGAATTGCAACAATCAGGACTAGCTAGCAGATGATTGTACACTGAAGACTTGCTACCACGAAACCTACGCACAACACTAACACTCTCACCGGCATTCTCACCATCACTCCCATCACTGCTCTCCGACTCACTTCTCATTCCGCCGTCCGTTCCATCCTCCGCTTCCTCTGTACTCTCTCTGCCTCGTCCATCCCGCCTGACCGGGTCCATTGAACTCAACTCGGTCGTCACCCTGCTATCACGTCCCTCCTTTCGCCCTTGTCCGCTGAGTGCGTAGCTTATGTTGTAGTTGGCTGTTGATCGTCTTGGTCTTTCAATTATGGGCTTGGATGGTGGATTAGTTGTGGTTGCTGTAGATTGCGTTGTTGGTGTTGGTGTGGGAGCTACTGATATGCAAGGTGGGTCTTTTTGAGTCGGCATTTGTAGTGTTAATGCAGCTGTCAGTGTTGCTCGCGGTCTACATGGTCCTTCGTCTTAATCTCAGAGTCGTTGGTTCGGCCACAAACATTGGGCGCTACTGTTGCAAGAAAATAGAGGGATTGGTGTGCATGATTTAAACCCATTACTCCTGTCTTTACTTAACAGTGGTCCGCCGAACAGGCTACCGGTGATTGCAAACACCAACGGACTCCTTCTTGCCGCGCTTACCCCTAAAGCAATAATTCTAGCATGTCAATGATATGTTTTCTGGTCAAAGCTCGCCATTTAAGTTTCTTGAACACTAACGTCTCTTGGTCTCATGATTGCAGGCAGGAAAGCAGACACTAACACAAACCATTACTGATACTTGAGAGTTCATACTACTTACTGGCTAAACAGGCAAATGGAAGCTCCCTCGAACTATTCCTGGCCTCACTATGTCCTAGCTGGTTGCCATTCACCTCAAAGGCATAATGATTATCAAAAGACACTTGATCGGACTGTCGAGACCAGAACAGGCCTTTGGCGGCGGCAGCACCAAGTTTCTTGAGCACAATGGAGAGAGTCTCCACTTCAAAAGCATTTTGAAAGTTCAACAGTCTTGCATCATATCCATACGTATCGATGCAGTGTTTGGTGGCATTGTAATTACTCATCTCCAGCAGATTACGGGAAAAGGGGATTGTTGGCACAACGACATACAGATCATTCTTGTGGTACTGAGATGCAGCTGAATAGGGGAATTACAAACAGAGAAAGAAGGGGCATCAGCAGCACGCTCTGACAAACTTGAGCCATCAAATGTTGAATATGCTATGCTTGGATGACCACTACACCATAGCTTAGTGGTAGAGTATAGCTGGTTATCAGCGACGGTCCCTGGTTCGAGTCCCGGTGGTGACTGGCATTTGTTTTCTCCAAACATTTCCCGTCTGAGACTCCCCAAACTAATGTGTACCCCCTGGTATATATCCTTATTATTTTATCAGTGTCAATAAGAGTGCATACACAATAGTATGCAACTGTGGTTATGGGTGAGTGTGCGGCGCACTGCCTTCATTAGGTAACTTGCCTTCATCACGCTCTGAAAGCATGCAATCAAACTCAGAATTTCTCGTACGAGCCAATCTGGTTTTGCTCGATTCGTTCCAGTACCTACGCCATCTCTAAATTTTGGCGCGTGAACTCCAGTTCCATACGAAAGTTCATTTCAAACCAGAGGGAAAGTGCGGTGTTTGATTTTCCACAGTGCGGGGGCTGCAGCTGAATGGTGTAATGAAGGCAGCGCGCCGCGTATCTGGCCCATAGAAAAGAGATCACAGTTGCATACTCTTGATTATGGACTCTTGGTGTCAACCATATTCCTTTCAGGGGTGTCGCACACGGTATTAATCGTAACACTATTTGCCCCAGGTACCCCGTTAATCAATAAAATGCACTGATCCGGGCTCCAAATTTCCAAAATTTTCGGCTCAGCCATCCTTCCCTCATGAGTAAATACTTAAGTACTTCAAATGGCTTACCGCACCACAAAAATAACTTCCGACGCCCCTACCTTTCTCGCCCGGAAATAATGATATTTCCCCTAGCAAAAAGGGTGAACTCCCTGAAACACTGGGCATTGAGTAGGGAGAGGGGTTTTCTTGCAGGTTTGCCCAGCGAAAGCTAGATGGACTTCTCTCGTGCTCAGGATGGCAGTCATAAGTCAGTCAATTGTCATATCAAATCAGCAGGAAAAGATCCAACATCGGAGGCCATGCAAAATTCCCTAGTAAATAGCAGGAAATCTTTCGAACTTAAAGGGGAACTCCGGTCCAAAATCACCCCCATTTTTTATTGCGGAATCCATTAGAGTATGTCGTAAGTGGAAAATGGCGAAAACCGGAAGCTTCTACGACAAGGATAACATACCTAAATTACCAATTGCAATTTTCCATATTTGGCACGAGGGGGGCTCCGCCCACCCTGTGACGTAAAACGTTCTCACTGACCTCCAATTTTTTTATTCAAATGGTAGACCTGCAGAAATTTTGAAAAAAGGTATTCACTGTTTTTTCTTCAATCAATAACCCTTGTACTAGTATTCATTCGATCATCACGTTGGAGGAAGAGGAGACCACGGGAGGTGTGGAGGTGGACGCCACTTCGGATTCAACAACACCGAGGCCTTTTAGGTTCGAGCCGAAGCGCGCATCAGCGTCTGCGAAACTGTCTACAAGTAATATTTCTGAGACTACAAAACAGATGAACGTGAAGAGAACGCTTTGGTTGCAAGTGCTCGCGTGAGAAGCACTGCTTGATGCCGTTGCGGACAATGCAGCCTGATGTGGAGCGAGGTCGAGTCGACTTGTTGCTGGGAGGTTCCTGCAGCTTTCAGTAAACGCGGCGAGCAGGATGGGCTGCAGTGCGTCACGCAGCACTCAGAGTTTGCTGTTGTTTGCCTGCAAAAATCAGTGCTCGAGGTGGCATTGCTTTCCTTCGAAGAATTTCGGGCAAGGTGTGGACCGTGGTCAAACAGGTGAGGATTCACTGAATCGGTTTCATTATTTTCTTTCTTTCCATGTTTCATGTACCGGTACAAAGTAGATGGGAAGTGTTGTGCAATGATTTTGTGTACAGTATTCAAATTCACCAACTTCCATCACACAATCATGAAGTTCTATTGCACCCATGCTCATATAATTATACTGGTACAACGATGTTTTTCATTCATACTATTCCTAGCACTGTAAGTGTTTCAACTGTGTGTAAAAGTGATGTAAATTTGAAAAAAGGCCAAACTCTTTAGTATAGTAGCCCATAGAAATATTAACTCGAATCCGAAACTATTTACACTGAATCCATTTACTTTTACACAATCATGAAGACACTCGTGGTATGTGTATCTACATCTCTCCAACTGTTTTGTGCAGGATTTGGAGACATGTGGCGTATAGACAATACACATGGTTCACCCATGGATACTTTGAACGCAAGCAGCGGCGTGTGATACCGTCTTGCGTGGTATCGAAGATAAAGCAGCTGTACCCAGAAGCCAATGCAGATGCGCACTGGGGCTTTGAGGAAGCAGTTGGACATGATGATGATGATGATGATAATGCTTCTTGGCCTGGTTGACGTTCACATAATCATTGGTACATGTGCATGCAGAATGTAGAAAACAGTTGACAGACACGATTTGTAACTATTCTTGACTCGGGCAATATTTGTGTTTTCGGGTGGGCGCATGCTTTGCACCAATGCAGCTGCATGAACAATCTGGTAAAGTTGACAGATACAATGGCACAAGACTGTACTGTGTTCGGGAGCATGGGGTTGTGCCGGTGCCGTGGCGAATGCCGAGAATGGTTGTATGCACATCGTTCAACAGGTCCTTCAAGAAGTTGCAGGACATTGTCGTGCAGCTTCTTGGCCACTTTGTGCTCTTGGTGTATTCCAGCCTGTACCTGAGCACACCCTCCTTGGTTTTGGCGTGCGCTCTCCCTATATTGGCATTGTGGGACAGACATGCCGACTGTACCCGTGCTCTCATGCCATTGTACGAAAAGTGGACACGTCTTGGTGCCCACTTCAGTATGACAGCATGGAAATTTTCCAGACTACAAATCATACTGTACCTTGTATTTGTGGCAGTGTAGCTGCAACCGGAAAGTAACGCAATGGAAACTTACAGATAAAGAGAACCGAAATAACACACATGATAACGTTCCATGTACATTCCATCAATTCTCGACTTCACTGAC